GCACAAGCTTTATGATCCGCGGGTGTTCGCGGAAAATCGCGAATCACATTTTATGGCAGGCATGTGTGAGTGTGTGCCATAAAATGTATTTTTAAATTCATAAGATTTTCGGGAAAACCAGATACTGTTTTCGTTCATCCTAGAAAGAGACGGAGAGAGGACCTACATGTCCTTCGACATTCGTAAATATGTGTAGTTAGACACAGCTTACTCTAGTAGAGTAGTTCTTATATTTATCCACATTGATATAGACAAAACTTTAAAATAAAACATCAAAGGTGCGCCGTTCTAAAATTAATTAGAGGCCTAACAGATTTCAATGGGACTTGTAGTGATAAAAATAAAATAGATCGATAGGGTATTCATTCCGTGGACATTAAATAAATCACTGAAACTAAAACAATTGGTCTGCATTAGTTGATAAAACAATTTGCTGACGATTCTTGGTGAAAGAATGTGCGATTGCTTGATTATGTCAGACACTTTGGCATAGCATAGAAATTGAAAATATCACATCGAATATTATTGTTTAAATGTTCGATCTTTAAGAGGTAATCTCTAATTTTGATTACCCCCAAGAGAAACATTTTTCATTTCGATTAGTACAGTTTTTAGCTATGCCAAATTGTTTCAGAAAGGATTTTTTTATAGCTCGGAAAGAACGGAATGGGGTGGTAACTTTCCCTGGAATACGTTCAAGCCCATTAGGCCTCAAATGGATCTAGCTGGATGTTCCTGGGCTTTATTGGAACGGCCTGCAAGAAGCCATCGAAGCAAAGAGCGTATTGCAGGGAAAGTTTGAACTTAAATAGAGTATCGCCACAAGAGGGATTGAAATCTGTATCGCCACTGACTAGGCTAGTACATTAAACTTCTCTAAAAACAATTTACACAGATCTTAAGTCTAGGCCTAACTTACTACGCGTATATATCTACAATCACTTGGTATTTGTACAATCAGGAACAACAGTTGTTAACCTAAAGCTATTATAACTCTCTGGGACGCCGCTTGTCCAGGCTAATTGAAGCAGTAGGCGAACTGCGAGTTGCCTGCGGCGTTACGATGGGGATTATACGCTTGCATTATCGTATCCATCGTGCATTGATATTGGCTCGCCTCGGATATGGTCACTCCCAGTCCCATTCCGAGGGGCTGCTGGGATCCTTGAGGGGACGAAAGTTTGCCAAACTTGGCAAAGGCTGTGCCACGATTTCCGGATCCTGTCAAAGCTCTTAGACCGGTGCTCATGTCGTCGCTGCTGCCATCGTCGCAGCTCTTGTCCAGACCCTTCAAAGGCTCCAAGATCTATTGAGAAAACAATCATAATAAAGTTAATTTGGATCATATAACTTATTGATCAGCAGTACATTTTCTTCGCAAAAACAAAGCTCTTATCTGAACGATCTGCTTAAGCTTGAGCAATTAAGCTGATTTTAATGAAAACGCTATTAACATGAAACTTTGTTCAGGCTAAAGCTCTTGCCGACCTGCTGACTGCCATATGAGCAATCGGTTTAGATATGCCACGTGTTCTGGTTTTTGAAGAAATTTTGGCAGCTTAAAAACATCAACATATCAATTAATCGTAAAGTCTACATTGTTATTACAACTTCGGCTGGCAGATGTTACCAATCGTTCTCGTTGTTAATAGTAGCACAACTTAAGGGTACTATTTTGAAGTTGAAAATAATATCCATGCTTTTAAGAGTTTAATTACAGTATTATTTGACATTGCCGTGGCTAATCTTTTCTTGTAAAACAAAAAAAAATATGTATGTATTTAAAAAAATTTTACATAAAATGATGTTTTTTAGAAACATAAATAAAAAAAAACATTATTTATGTGAAACGATTAGAGCAACGACAACGTCATATAGCTGTCGTAGCGATTATCGAAGATGATCAGAAACTGAATTTGCTATATGAAGGTATTTTTCTGTGTAAATGAGGAAGGTGGGGAGGTGGACTCTTGGCTAACCTGAAGCGTCGTCTTCTTCCTTGTTCCGTCGTCCATATCTTCGGCCTCCGTCTCGCCAACGGCGGTGGCGCAGGGTCCGCCAATGCCGATGCCGCACAGACTGGGACTCTCGTCGTTCTTGGGTGTTAATGGCTCGTAGACCTCGGAGCCCGGCGAGGCAGCGCCGCGGGCCATAGCCGACGCGGATGCAGTGGCGCCAGACATAGCCGGTCGCATGTAGTACGAGCCGTTAAAGTTGTAGTCTGCCTCTGGCTCGTCCTTGACCAGGACACGGGACGCGCTAGGTGGCTTTTGCTGGAAGTCAAAGTGGTGGTACTGCTGCTGCTGCGCCGGCTGTTGCTGTAGCATCTGAGGCGGCACATGGTTGCTCTGGTGGTGCAGCTGCTGGTGGTGGTGAACATGCCCCTGCTGCTGCTGGAAGAACTGGCCGCCAGTGGCAGATCCTGGAGCTCCTCCGGTGGGGTACTGCACATGCGCGTGTCGATTGGTCAGGCCATGGTTGTGGCCTCCATTGTAGTTGTAATAGGCGTTGTAGGACTCGCCGTAGTGCTCCACCATGTGGGCTGTGGGAGTCGAGGGCGTGGGCGATGGGGTCAAGGCGTTGGGCGTGGCTCCTCCGCCCAAGCTAAGGGTCTGCAAACTGGGAGGATCGCCTTCACTCTGTTTTAGACCCGGCGAGAGTGGCATGCCCTCGTACGACTGATCTTTGTGCTGGTCCGATTGGATTTTGTGACGACGACGACGATTCTTGAACCAGATCTTCACCTGGGCAGTGCCCAGGCCCAGTTTTGCCGACAGATCCGCCAGTCTGGGGGCCGTGAGGTATCGTCCCTGCAGAAAGTGCTGCTCCAACTCGGCGATCTGGGAGCTAGTGAAGGTGGTGCGAGTGCGTCGCGGTCGTCGCATCACCAGGGAGTCGGGCAGCTCCTCTGGGGGGTACATTTCTGATAAGACGATGGTGGACAATGTTTACCTCAAACTCACCTGGCTTGGGCATCTGGTTAGGCAGATACGGCCGTATGTAGTTGTAGTTTATCGCACCCGTTCGCTCATCAAAAAGCTTGAAAGAATCAATGAGTACACTATCTTTATATAAAAACATGAAAAGATGGTTTGCTTCGGAAGCCGAAGCTTAAGATCAGTTATTTTAAACAACTTTCAGCTTCAAAGGGATAATTACTTTTCAGTTATATTCAGTAATTTATTATATGAAAGATGTAAGATAATGTATGCAATGCCTAAAACAATTGTATCAATGGTACTGATGATAAGAAGGTAAGCCTCAAAACTTATACCTGTATTATACTATCTGTTCAACATCCATAACACAGAATCACTTTGTTCGAGATCATGATATAACGTTTTTATACTGAACATAAATAGTTTATCGGTGTTGTTTTTAAACTTTGTCTTTAATAAAACAAGACCGATTTTTTACATGCCTAATAGAGGTTTAAGTTATGGATGCTCTACTGTAATATTTTTTAGGTCGCATGGCTAATATTATCTAAAGATCAGCTATGGCATCAATATGTTCAGATTGCTTTTTTAAAGAAATCTTTACAGTGATCAGCAATCACACTTGGGTTTTAGTGGTTCATTTTACGGAGGCTGCACTGTAGTCATACTTTACTGGGCGAAATCTCATCTTACGGACATGGGCGTAATACTATCCTATAGCCATTCCACTCACCAGATCGAAGGGATTCCGGAATTGTGGCGGCAACTGGAGTTGCGGATGTTGATGATGTGGGTGCGGATGGGAATGCGGATGCGGATGCGAGTGCGGATGTGTGTGCGTGTGGGGCAGCGGATGATGGTAAAAGTTTTGATCTGGCGGCGGTTGCGCCATTTTCCCCAAACACTCCGCCGCGCTATTTTAAGGGATTTTCCCGCGCCGCGTTAATAAATTGCAAATGGAATGTGGACAATTTCGTTTATTGTGGGTAACCGGTTACGTTCGAGACGTTCGCGAACTTATTTCGCCAACATTTTGCGATTTGGCGATCCACTTGCTTCGCATCTGCAAAGTACCGTTACATAGGGATGGGGGTAAAGAAGCTAGAGATGGAATGACCCCGTCCGGATCCCTATTATCGATCAAAGCATAATAAAATATTTAAAAAACAATACATCTTCAATAAATTATTGAATTAATATTTTCACAAAATAAATGTGTATTTTTGAAAGTCAGCGTAGCACTCCCACGTTCTTATCGGAGCAGTCCGGCAACGCCGCATAATGTGTGAGTACGCAAAATTTACGCCAGAGGGCGGCGGCAAATTATAGAGAAGCGAGCCAGCGGAATTTGGGGTGCAACTATTGCTCACTGACAAAATTTGAATGACCTGGAACTAGGCGGATTATTTGAAATTAGTTTTGCATGCATTGGTTAAAATGCTGTAGACCCAGTTGTTTAAGTTACCCTTAACTTCCGTAAGCTTTGACTAAAATGAGTATTTCGACCTTTTGTTATTGGCATGTCCCTGCACACTTTTATCTCTGTAGAATTAATAATGAGTATAGGCAGTACGAAATAAGAAACAAAGACCTAAGCCTTAAGTCGACGGACAGGAAAGCAAATCCAATCGCGTAAGGGCTTCTTTTAATAACAGCTTAGCCTGAATAATGTGCAGTGAACATAAAAGAACGTTTGTTAAATTTATTATTTGTTACAAATATAATTATTTTTAATTGTATACAAATTAGATCATTTAAAAATGTTATATTTTCCAAGGTATGAAGGAAAGAGCTTAAATATTTTTATACCCGTTACTCGTAGAGTAACAGGGTATACTAGATTCGTCGGAAAGTATGTAACAGGCAGAAGGAAGCGTTTCCGACCCCATAAAGTCAACAGTCACAGAAAGAGTCAAAATCGAAACTATTAAAATGTTAATATTAAAATCTTAAAATAAATATTAATACGAAAAAAGGGGGAGTATAATTACTTCTATCTGAAAATGAATCGTTTACGATATAAAATTTAAAGGCACTGCGTTAAAGAAAGCCAAGTAATTTTTAATTAAAATTAAAAATGTTGAACTCCAGGATTCTTCTGAGGAATCGTTTGAAATAATTCATTTTGCAAATGCAGTACTTCTTGTCGGTTTTGTCGTCGACGCAAGTGGAAACCTCTTCATAACTGTCGAGCCGACTGATGGAGGGCACCTCCACTTCCACAGACCCCGTGAAAATGTTGAAGAGAACGGTGGCTCGAAAATCGGCAGAGTTCTGATTCACTTTGAACATGGTGCGATAGGTGGCCACATCTGTATAAGGCACTTCATCATTGAAATTCCGGTCTAGGTCGATTTTGATCTCAGTATGGTGGATGTACTTCAAAGTTAGTTCCGAGCAAAGGCCACTGAGATTCTTGGCGGCCAGGTATTCGTTGATTCGCCTTATCACCTGGGGAGCAATCCGCCTGGCCCAATGGGCCTGAAGTCTTTTGAATGGCACGCAGGTGCAGTAGTGCTCCGGTATTCCGGCGTCCTCACAAGTCCTCGACTCATCGATGGGCAGGAATACGGACTGACACTTTGGACAGTCGGCGGCTTTGTTGAGTTTCTGGCCACCTGGAGTGCCCCCCAGTTCGATGAGGTGCTTCAGGGTGTTGTGCAGATCGTAGTTGGAGGTCAGGCACACATATTCCGGATATTGGTCCCGGAACCATGGCGGCAAGTATATAAACATCGAGGGCAGACGCTCCTCCAGGAACCCACTGGGCAGGTACCTGATTTGCCCATAACGAGCTCCATGGTCAGAGAGGAATATCATAATACTCTGCTCGAACACTCCATCCGCCTGGAAATCCAGCAGATACTGCAGGACATAGTCCTCCATTTTCGAGGGCATCTGAAAGCTGTCGTGGCTGAAGCTGTTCGACCAGAAAAGACCCCATATGGGACGCTCGTGCAGGAAGCGCCTGGCGAAATTCCTGGCCATGTCGTAGGCGTAGCTACTGGTGATCCTTTGGCCAATGCAGTACCTCATAGAGCAGTCCTGTTGGAAGGGCCTGAGGTAGTAGTCGGTGGGTTGCTCCAGAAAACCGGGTACCATCGAGTTAAATGTATTTATGCCCGTCTCATCTTCGCCATAGGCAGTCAGATAGCTGGCGTTCCGGAAGTGCTTCCATATGAATGGAATCTGGTCCAGGCAGCCCTTTTAGCGCCAGTCGCACAACTTTTCCAAGACCGAGTCTGGATGATAGCCAGCCAAAATGGACAGAAGGTTAGGGAAGGTGTTGTCGCTTATCTGAAAATGTGATTAATAATTAGCGTATTTAAACATGATTTCTTCCCCCACCTTCTTGTGTCCCTGCAGCTTAAACCATCCGCTGCCCTTCAGGAAGTTAAAGACATTTGGCATCGTTCGACGCAAATTTATCCGCGACAGGCTGTCTATGCCGAACATAAGTACACTTGGCTTCCTTTTCCTTCCAGTTCCATCGAAAGTCCTTTGGGAGGTGGGGTGTGTTGGATGAGGCTGTAGGCATCGCTCTGCAGAATGTCAGACTCGTTGCCAAGACGATGACAGGCCAAAATCAGTCCATGAACATCGAGAGGTACTTTGTAGCTCTGAGTGAAGTACTTCCGTTTTGCCCTAAAGGGAAAAACACTATATGATCATATGTTTGATGTGTTCAGATTGGCGGAGTATCTATTTAAGAATTAGATAATTAGTGTAGGATCTATTAAACTACGGATCAATATAAAATATAATTTGATGTTATTCACTTCTTTACAAAAATATGCATATTTAAAACGTGTAAATAAAAAATGGTAAGACCACATACTTTTTATAACTGTCGTGCCGCCGATTGCGGCTTATCTTCTGATAGTAACAGCTGTACTTCTCCCTATTAGATTTCAGAATAATAGAGGCTAGCGTTTCGTTGATGAACAACAAATATCGCTTTCGGCTGTCGTCATAGATAGGGGTTACCAAAGCACTTTCGTTGGAACAAGACTCGAAGTGCTCGGGGTGGAACACTGCCATGGCATTCGGCTCGAAAGGATCCACATACGGAATCTTGCACTTGGCGGTATTCACAAAGAAATGGGGCGGCACTGCATCTTTCTCTTTCGGACTTGCTGTCTCAGGAAGGTAGCCAGATTTTGCCTCTAAAAGCTCCGAAGTTCTAAATTCCTTTTCAACTTTTCCAAGCTGAGCATTTGCTTGGTTTGTTAGTTTAGGAATCACAATGAAGACCATGAAGCAAATGCACTGCCATTGCAGAATCGAATGAATAATGTTCATCATGACTGACGTTATCAGCTCCTTATGAAGCTTATCAAAGCCAAGTTCATACATCCGTTGGCAAAAATGTATAATACTAGATAGTTCTGGTTCATAAAACAATTCAATTTGACTTATTAAATAATATCTTATAATGAGATACCATCAAAGTTTTTGGTAATTTTATCAAACGAGAAACTGACAAGAATTTGAACGAGTGGTTCGATCTTCACTCAAAGCGTTATCGTTGATATGGGTATACCAGTTACTGTTACTGTTACTTGTTAAGTAAAGGGTATATGTAGCCGTTAAAAAGTATAGAAGGGTTGTTTTAGCCCTGTTCCATAAACAGATCTAGGCAGCGCATTTTGGTTTCAAAAAATATTTCCTGTCTGCCACGCAAATTTGTGAATACTTTCATGAAGTGTAACTTTCAAATGATTTCATTTGTCAAAACAAATATGTGCAAAAAATCGTGTAAGTCGCACTATAAGCTTAAAAGTTATGAGTAACTAAGTTTAAAAGGCATTGCAGGAACCGATGGGTGGCGCTGCCGCCATTGGTTTGTGCCGCGCCAGTATAATTTTATCTTTTTTATTGGAGTACATAGTTTGAAACTGATTAACAGAGTAGCCAGTAACTGACAAAGTAGCAGCTTTTTTTTTTTAATTTGTTTTATTTCTATTAAATTTTTGTCTACAAGTCCCCACTGAAAATTAATGAATATCTTCAAGTTAAAGGGGTTTATTTTCAATGCATTTTGATATACACTAACCTTTGGTTCAATATAGGAACTTGTTTAAACTTTTAAAGAATATGCCATGTTGGTAAATAATAATAATAAACAACCGAATATTTTGTTCTTAAAATTAATTCGGCTAGTCAGTTGACCTTTAAGCAAGTGTCAGAAGGCCTTAAGTGAAAGATTTTTAATGACATTTACCGAATAATTGTCGTGTTTGCTTTTGGTATCTGGCATGAGCTTGTTGCTGTTGGCTTGGCTTTTGTTGTTCTGCCGCTGCCAACTGGCAACAAAAGTCAATTCACAGACACTCCAGGCGACGGCGGAGTCGGAGTGCAGCCAAAAGGCAAACAAAATACGCGCACATAGTCAAAGCCAAAGGATACACACCAAAGTACAGTGGTTGTTTAGAAATGCAATTCAAAGTTTCCAAATTAAGAGCAAACAATCTTACTAAATTTAGATGATCAACAAATTGTTGTACTTGTTAAACCCGTGTTTTGGTGACTTGGCAATGGGATAACTTGACCGAACCAATTGTGTCTTTCGAAAAAAAAATGTTCCAAGATACATAGGAACAAATTATATTGTAATTACAACTTACATACAAAATTAAACATATTTATTTTTTTACAATTAAAATTTATAACGATTGCAGTATGACGAAAACATATTTACTTATACATATATCATGCTTTCAAAACCTTAAAACGAAAGGTAATACGTTCACCCAGTCAGCAAAACTTTAGGTGACGTAGCCATTAATGTATACCGATATATTTAACACATTTAACAGTCGGTCCTTATAAATATTTAGCTTTGAGAGGTATCAAACCTTGTACAAAACGTAGTTATATTTTAGAGGTACATTAACGCCACAGAATAACAAGAAGAGTGGTATCTTTATTTTTCTATACCCCGAAAAATGCCTTATAAATTAAATACTAACTAGTAATTATCCCAAGATCATTATAGTCTTCCAAAAAAGTATGTGCGAGGAACCACTGTGCGGAACTGGGCCACAAATTCACACGCAGTGTGTGACAAAAGACTATTCCCTTCCCGCTCGGCAGCCCGGCTGCTCAATGCCCTCCGTGTGTGCCGCTGCCGAAGCGAAACACCCAAAGAGTCACTGACAGAAACAGGATTCGGGTAATAAATTACAAAATTTGACATTTTCTGTTTTGGATCCGCTTGCGCCTGAATGCGAGCGGCAGCCCTCTCTTTCGCACGCCATCCAGCCGTCTCTTTCGCTCGGTTTCGGTGTGTGTCCAGTTCGGTCGAGCCCAGTCGACCGTTGCACAAAGCAGCCAGGACCTGCCAGGACCTGGACCTGGACCTGGATCCAAAAAGGCATCGACGCAATGGTCATAATGACGCTGCCGGAATGCAACTGAGACCAAGGATAACCCGCAACCGTGAGGGGACAAGAGAGGGAATAGAAGCGCCCTATGCGGTCCATAGATAGTTAACTGGAAATTTATTATTTTACACAATTTACAATTATCAGATTCGAATGTGCACTCAGAGACGGCAATCCTGGGATGGGGGTACGGGTAGAAGTCCGAGTTCGGGCGACAGATGCAGCTGCCCTCCCATGGGAACGGCCTCATTTCAGCAGAAGTCACCGAAACGATTTAAGATGTGATTTAATTTTCCAGAAACTGTGGCTATAGTTCTCGTCGCTCTTAAGGGGAATTTCTTGGCCAGTCAGACAGCGTCGTCATCAATCATTTCCCATAGTTAAGCCGGGTTAACCTCGACGGGTCTTAGGGGGGAACTTGGCCAGCGGCCGATCAGAGGTCGGTCCGGGAAATATGGAAATTAAATGCGATTGGGAAGACAGAGTCCGCGGCAAGCGAAGTTAAACTTTCTGAAATATTACAAAAATAATACTTTTTAAAAGTTTTAAGAATTATGAATGCTAAATGTTGTATAAGCTTTTAAAGATATTAGTATTTTGAATAAAAGCTTGTAGAGCAGAATAACAGATTTTTCTCTGACCTTTAATAGCGAAAGAAGTTTTATGGACTAAACTATAACTCATACATATTATTTTTCAAGTCTCACACTTTTACATATGTTTCAAGTAAAATTATTTTATCAACATTAAGCTTATAATGTTCAATTTTTCACCTTAGTCGCTACATAAGGTCCAAGACTAGATGTTAATCAAAATTTACGCAAGCTTTAAACATCACTTATGTACTATCTAACCGAAACAAACTTCATTTATTTGATTTTTAAAAGGTATAACATTGTTTTTAATTTAAGAGTACGTTTTATATTTCCCAGTTTTTAGAACTCAATTTATTTGAAAATTTACCTTCTTAAAACCATCATCGATTTTCAAATTCCTCAAACTTTGTTTAAATTTCGTATTTTCCTGAAGATATCGAAAATAGGTTACCAGGAAATAGTTATTTTTAATAAAATTACTAAAAAGTACTCACCTTTAATTTAATTGCTTATTTTCTTCCCGCAGCTCAGTTAAAAGTTCTTAAATTCCCCGGATGCTGCTCTTTAAATGTCCCGTAGAATTTCCCGGCGTGGCTGAACAAGGACTCTTAATAAATCCCACCCAACGCTCCGTGTTCCACCCCCTTTTGTTGTTACTTTTCGCGCATGCGCCCCTGCTCCGGCACAGAAAGAGACAGCACTATTCGGCGCTGGGATCGCTGGCATTTCCAGCGCGGCCAGGATATTCCAGCGACCGCTCGCCATGGCTGTTGCTTTTGTTCGCCGGCAGCGGAAAGTGCGCGCCATGCCATAAATCACAAATGGCTCGCATTCCAACATTCCCACCCCACTCCGCCCTTCCCTTTCTTTCCCTTCCACGAATCCCTAAACGTTTACGGCCAAATGGCGGCACAAATTTGAATTTGCATTTGAATTTCGCACGCCGTCTTTCAGTTCGCCCGCGGCCGCTTTCACTGGCGCTTTGTTTTTGCAACGGACCGCTTATCTTGGGGATGGGAGCAGGGGGTGTCCAGGGGGCGGGACTGAGGGGAAAGGGGCCACAACAGCAACGACCAGCAAAACAAATCAATTAAGGCGAGAAGGAGAGTGCATTGATAACTGAGCCCGAAGTCAAACTCACGCACAAGTAAACAATTTTAATACGAGCTGAAACGCAAACACAGATACAAAGAAGAGATACAGATGCAGAAGCAAACACAGATACAGATACAGTCAAGGCGTCAAAGTAAATAACCGAGGGGCGATAAGATCCAAAACGTCGATGACTTCTTCTTCGGCAAATACACTGCGAGAAATAAGAGGTGCATTATTTAAGGAGATAAAAACCATAATTAAAAATTAAGTATAACATTACAAAACATATTAAATAACCGTTAAAATAGGTTTAAGACCAAATTTAAAATATTTAATAATCATAATTCTTATAATATACCATGGATTATTATTGTTATAAATAATTTATTTACTTTTTATGTATTTCTATGACCAATTTACACATGAGAAAGTAGCGCTTAACTCGGCTAAATCAAATGATTTAAAATTTATTTGAGATAGTATTGAACTTAATTATTTTATAAATTAATTTTATTTATGAGATTACTAAATTTCTAAAAGAAAATCAATGTATGGTAAAGTAAGGAAGATCAGTCTCTTCTCTTGCACAACACAATGAGATTTCAAACTAAAAACTTCGATATACATATTCGGCAAAAGCGATCTGAATTTCTCTGAGTGCGCTCATTAAGTCGCAACGTAGTCTAGACAAGGCAATCGATCATAACGATGTCGCTCTGCCTCATTCTCGCGGTGTACAATTTTCGGGACTCTTCTTGAGTTCGAGGAGATAACGAGCGCTCGACGTCGGCGCGTCAGGAACAATACGAAGAACCCAATTCCGAGATAGAGATAAGCAGAACGTCAGCAGAGATACGGTCTTCTGAGCCGAGCTCAGTCGCCTCTGCCGATTCAGTCGAGCCCCGAACGCGAAGTGAAGCGCATTGAACCCACAAGAACCGAGATAATCAAGCCGAGAGAGAAAAAATCATCAGTAACATCCTGTAATTAAAAAAAATATATTACACCCGAAACCAATTATTTAACAGTATTTAACTATAATACTAACAAGTAAATTCTTGAACTCAATTTTTG